ACAAGTAACCGGGGATCAGCACACCTCTTCTTAAATGAAGAGACAATAAATACTTGTTAGACTTTGAAGGCCATATGGTCTCTGTTGCAACTACTCAACTCTGCCATCAGAGTGAAAAACAGTCTTGAGGCCGGGCGTGGTGGCTCAAGCCTGTAATCCCTGCACTTTGGGAGGTCAAGACGGGCGGATCACGAGGTCAGGAGCTCGAGACCATCCTGGCTAACAAGGTGAAACCCCGTCTCTACTAAAAAATACAAAAAACTAGCTGGGTGAGGGGGCGGGCACCTGTAGTCCCAGCTACTCGGGAGGCTGAGGCAGGAGAATGGGATAAACCTGGGAGGCAGAGCTTGCAGTGAGCTGAGATCCGGCCACTGCACTCCAGCCTGGGTGACAGAGGGAGACGCCGTCTCAGAAAAAAAAAAAAAAAAAAAGGCCACAATGGAAAACAGTCCGGCAGTTCTTCAAAAAGTTAAACATAGAATTACCATGTAATTCAGCAATTCCACCTCTAAGTATATTCCCCAAATAATTGAAAACAGGTACATGAATGTTCATAATAGCACTATTGACAGTAGCCCCAAAGGGAAAACAACCCAAATGTCCATCAACTGACGAATGGATTTTAAAAATGAGTTATATTCATATAATGCAAGGGTATCCAATCTTTTGGCTTCCTTGGGCTGCACTGGAAGAAAAATTGTCTAGGGTCACACATAAAATACACTAACGATATAGCTGATGAGTTAAAAAAAATTGCAAAAAAAAATCTCATAATGCTTTAGGAAAGTTTACAAATTTTTGTTGGGCGGTATTCAAAGCCATCTTGGGTCACAGGTTGGACAAGCTTGATATAATGGACTATTACTCAGGCAATAAAAAGGAATGAAGTTACAACATGGATGAACCTTGCAAACACTATACTGAACGAAAGAAGCCAGTTTAAAAGGTCACCTATTGCATGATTCCATTCACATGAAATATCCAGAATAGGCAAATCCACAAAGACAGAAAGCAAATGAGTGGTTAATGGAGGCTAGGGGTTGACAGGAATCAGAGAAGTAACAAGCATTGGTTTACTCTTGGAAGGATGAAAATATTCTAGAACTAGAGAGTGGTGATGCTTGTACAACACTGTGAATGTACCAAATGCCACTGAATGGTACACTTGAGAATGGTAAATTTGGAGTTATGTGAATTTTACCCTTCCCTCTCCCCTCAGTAGCCACAGATTCCTTGCAATTCCTTCCATCAAGAGAGTCTGGGATCTGGGCCAAGCACCGTGGCTCACGCCTGAAATCACAGCACTTTGGAAGGCCAAAGCAGGCAGATTGCTTGAGTCAGGAGTTCGAGACCATCCTGGCCAACACGGTGCAACACTGTCTTTACTAAAAATACAAAAAAGAAAAAAAAAAAAAAGAAAAATTAGCCAGGCATGGTGGACTAAGGCAGGAGAATCGCTTGAACCCGGAAGGCCACTGTACTCCAGCCTGGGTGACAGGGTGAGAACCTGTCTCAAAAAAAAAAGAAAAAGAAAAAAGAGTCTGGGGTCTGAGGTCTGGGGTCTGGGCTGGCTTTATGTCAGGTTTTGACCAATTAAATATGGCAGAAGCAACTGCACAAGTTCTCGAAAGGTCTTGCAGCTTTTGCTGTCACCCTAATGCACTCCTGAGACTGTTGTGGTATAAAGAAAGGCCACGTGGAGAGAGTGAACCAGCTATCCAAGCATCCCCGTGAGCTCCTGTGCCTGTGTGAGAGGCCATCCTAGATCACAAGACACAGCCAAGCAGCTAACTGACAGAAGTCACCCGAGAGAGCCCAGATAACAGCACAGAGGTCAAGCCCCATCAAGCCACAGAATTGTGAGAAATAACAAGTCATTGTCTTCAGCCACTTAGTTTTAGGTGGCTTGTTATGCAAAAACAGACAACTAACACAAAGAGTATGTCACTATGCACATTTACCATAGTTTGCTTAACCAATCTCCTTCTGAGAGGCTTTTAGGTTGTGTCCAGGTTTTTAACTTTTCTTTTTTCTTTCTTTCTTTTTTTTGAGACAGAATTTCACTCGTCGCCCAAGCCGGAGTGCAAAGGTGCGATCTCGGCTCACTGTAACCTCTGCCTCCTGGGTTCAAGCAATTCTCCTGCCCTAGCCTCTCGGGTAGCTGGGATTACTGGCACGCGCCACCAGGCCCAGCAAATTTTTTTGGTATTTTTAGTAGAGACGGGGTTTTACCATGTTGGCTAGGCTGGTCTCCAACTTCTGACCCTCAGGTGATCTGCCTGTCCTGGCCTCCCAAAGTGCTGGGATTACAGGCGTGAGCTACCGCGCTCAGCCAGGTTTTTAACTTTTCTAAACAATTTTATCCTGGATATTCTTATATAAACAACTCTGTGCACTTAACCGATTTTTCCTAATACTTTAGCAGCACACACTTGCATTTGATGGAAGCTCTGGAAATAAAAAATCCAAAAATATTCTCAACGCATTCCAGAAGCAAAATTAATAGTGGTGATTTCAGGCAATTTTCAGTGGGGAAAACAAAGCCTCACTAACAAGAGTTTGCATAAAATTGGCCCTGTGATGAACCCCATGAATCTTAGTCCCAACTTTCTTGGATGGCCAGCCTCTTGTTTTGTATCGCTCTTCAGTGCATATTATTTTTGTTTTGTTTTGTATTGCTTCCCTTTGGGTGGGTGGGATCCCTGGAGATGTACATAATTTGATTTTAAAAACTATGAGAACATACCTCTGCCATGACCTGAGCCACTGAAACTGATGCTCTGAGTCTCCCTGGTCTGCTCATAGTTTGTTTTCTAGATTAAACCCATGAATGAGGGTATTGATCAATAAAACCGAAGTCACATATATACAGCAAGGAAGGCTTTGATGGGGATAGACTTGCCTGTGTATAAGATCATCAAAATATTTATGGCAGCTCTGAAAGACAGATACCCTCTCATTACGGTGACTGAATTACGACTATTCCATTAATAAATATAGGGAAGTTCATAGAAGCTGATGGGACAGTGAAGGTTTTGAAGTGTGAGAAGAACCTCACTAGGAAAAATTCAACAAAGGGTTGGAAATGTAGTTGGGATTTCTTCTTCTTGTTCTTCTTCTTTTCTTTTTCCTTCTTTTTTTTTTTTTTTTTTTTTTTTTTTTTGAGACAGGGTCTGGCTCTGTGGCCCAGGCTAGAATGCAGTGGTGCTATCTCCACTTACTGCAACCTCCAACTCCCAGGCTCAAGTGATCCTCCCAAGTAGCTGGGACTAACAGGCATGCGCCACCACACCTAGCTAATTTTGTTGTTGCTGTTGTTGTTGCAGAGATGGCGTTTTTCTTTGTTGCCCAAGCTAGTCTCAAACTGCTAAGCTCAAGCAATCCACCTGCCTCAGTCTCCCAAAGTGCTAGGATTACAGGGATGAGCCACTGTGCCTGGCCTGTGGCTGGGACTTCTTACAGCTTGAGTTATAGATTTGGGGATCATTTATGAAGATATGGCAGGTGAAGTACAGAGAATTAATGGTGAGAACATAAGAATGGGGGGGAAGAACACGTGCTCGGGATCCATCATACTTCGGAGGGAGAAGGAGAAGAGGAGCCTGCAAGGGGGAGAAAGTGGTCAAAGAGGTGGGAGAGCCAAACAAATGGAAGGTCACAAAAGCTAAAAAGAACCAGCTTCATGATTTGTGGCACCCTGTGCAAAATGAAAAGGCAGAGCCCTTTGTTCAACAACTATTAAGAATATTGGCTGGGCATAGTGGCTCATGCCTGTAATCCCAGCACTTTGGGAGGCTGAGGCAGGGGGATCACCAGGTTAGGAGTTGGAGACCAGCCTGGGCAACATGGCGCAAACCCATCTCTACTAAAAATACAAAAAATTAGCCTGGCGTGGTGGCGGGCGCCTGTAATCCCAGCTACTCGGGAGGCTGAGCAGGAGAACTGTTTGAACTGGGGAGGTGCAGGAGCCGAGATGCCACCTTGCACTCGCCTGGGCAAGAGTAAATCTGTCTGGGAAAAAAAAAAAAAAAAAAAAAAAAAAAAAAAGGCTGGGCGGGCTCACTGTAATCCAGCACTTGGGAGCGAGCGGGGACAAGGAGTCGGATATGGCTAACAGGTGAACCCGACTCTACTAAAAAGAAAAATTAGCCGGCATGTGGCGGGCCTGTAGTCCAGCTACTCGGGAGGCTGAGGCAGGGGGCGTGACCGGGAGGGAGTTGCAGGGCAGACTGTGCAGCACTCCAGCTGGGCCAGACAGTTCCGTCTGAAAAAAAAAAAAATGCCAGCGGTAGCAGCTGATCTCAGCACTGGGGGGTGGCAGCATGAGTCAGGATCGAGAATCCATTAAAAAATTAAAAAAAAAAAATAGGGCGTGCATGTCCTGTCCCCAGCACTCGGGACTGAGGCAGGAGAGTCATTGAACCCAGGAGGAGGGGGGTGCAATGAGCCAAGATCACACCATTGCACTCTAGCCTGGGCGACAGAGCAAGGCTCCGTCTCAAAACAAAACAAAACAAAGCAAAACAAAAAAAATATATATATTAGGCTGGGTGTGGTGGCTCATGCCTGTAATCCCAGCACTTTGGGAGGCCGAGGCGAGTGGATCACTTGAGGTCAGGAGTTCGAGAGCAGCCCGGCCAACATGGTAAAACCTCATCTCTAGTAAAAATACAGAAATTAGATGGGCATAGTGGCACGTGCCTGTAATCCTAGCTACTTGGGAGGCTGAGGCATAAGAATCGCTTGAACCCAGGGGGTGGAGGTGGTTGCAGTAAGCGGAGATCATGCCACTGCATTCCTGCCTGGGTGACAGAGTGAGACTCAGTCTCATTAAAAAAAAAAAAAAAAAAAAATTAATGGCCATTGCAGTGGCTCCACACCTGTAATCCCAGTGTTTTGGGAGGCCAAGGTGGGAGGATCTCTTGAGGCCAGGAGTTCAAGGTTGCAGTCAGCTATGATTGTGCCACTGTACCCTCTGTCTCTAAAATAAAAATTCTTTTGTGCTCACTTCGGCAGCATATATACTAAAATTAAAGCAAGACAGAGAAGATGAGCATGGCCCCTGCTCAAGGATGACACACAAATTCATGAAGTGTTTTATATTTTTAAATAATGTAAATATACATATTGAAAACTTTTCAGGCCAGTCACGGTGGCTCATGCCTGTAATCCCAGCACTTTGGGAGGCCGAGGCAGGTGGATCACCCGAGGTCAGGAATTTGAGATCAGCCTGGCTAACATGGTGAAACCCTGTCTCTACTAAAAATACAAATAATTAACTGGGCGTGGTGGCAGGCGCCTGTAGTTCCAGCTACTCAGAAGTCTGAGGCAGGAGAATCACTTGAACCCAGGAGGCAGAGGCTGCAGTGAGTGGAGATCACGCCATTGCACTCCAGCTTGGGCGACAGGAGTGAAACTTGGTCTCAAGAAAATAAAATAAAAGTATGTATGTATGTATGTATGTATGTATGTATGTATGTATTTTCGAGACTGAGTCTCGCTGTGTCACCCAGGCTGGAGTGCAGTGGTGTAAACTCGGCTCACTGCAAGCTCTGCCTCCAGGGTTCACGCCATTCTCCTGCCTCAGCATCTCGAGTAGCTGGGACTACAGGCACCCAGCTAATTTTTTGTGTTTTTAGTAGAGATGGGGTTTAATTGTGTTAGTCAGGATGGTCTCGATTTTCCTACCTTGTGATCCGCCCGCCTCGGCCTCCCAAAGTGCTGGGATTATAGGCATGAGCCACCACGCCTGGCAATTATTTTCATTTTTAATTATTATCAGTACATAATGCATATATTTAGGGGGTACATGTAATGTGTGGATTCAGGCATACAATATGTAATAGTTGCATTATTTGTAATTGTGATCAGGGTATTCATCGCCTCAAGGATTTATCTTTTCTTTGTGTTATGGACATTATAATTCCACCCTTTCAGTTATTTAAAAATATGCAATAAATTATTGTTGCTATAGTCACCCTGTTGTGCTATCAAATACTAGTTCTTCATTCATCCTATTAAGAAAAAGTTGTATTTGCTGTCATCTGATGCCTAACAAAAAAATAAGTAAATAAATACATAAAATAATTTGAAGATAGGAACAACAGAATATTAAACCATGCCTGAGGAGCTTAGGGCTCTGTGCAGTTAACTATATGGGTTGCACACCTATGAAGCTTGCCCTGAAGCTAAGAAGTTAGAGAATTTTTAAAGAGGGGATGGCAAGGAGAGTGAAATTGGAGAACAGGCTGTTGAATTTGATGATCTGAGGTTACAGTGACTTTCAAGAGAGTAGGGTGGGGGACAAAAATCAGATCATGAGGGGTTTAAGGGTTGATTGCTTGGAGGATGAAGTACAGCAGCGAAAAGTTGGGCATTTGAAGAGAGATGGTCCAGTAGTTCAGAGAGCAATTGGGTTAACGAGCAGCTGTTTTCAAACAGAGCCGACACAATCGTGTTTATTGGCTTGGATACTGAGCGGGAAAGGCTGAAGATGCAAGCAAGAGGAATAAGGGAGGACACAAGGTTTGGAAGTGGCAAACATGTTGCGATTAACAATAATGGTAGAGAGATGATAAACTTTACAGTCAGTCTCTGAACCACCCTGGAGTAATGGAAGAGAGAGGGTCATAAAAGCACAAAAACATCCAGAGAGAAAGCGAGATGTCAAACACAGCTCCAAGTGGGCTTAATCAATAGGGAGCTTTTCAGGGTTTCAGGGATTTTTGTACTTTTATCTTTTTTTTTTTTTTTTTTTTTTGAGACGGAGTCTCGCTCTGCCGCCCAGGCTGGAGTGCAGTGGCCGGATCTCAGCTCACTGCAAGCTCCGCCTCCCGGGTTCACGCCATTCTCCTGCCTCAGCCTCCCGAGTAGTTGGGACTACAGGCGCCCGCCACCGCGCCCGGCTAGTTTTTTTTTTTGTATTTTTTAGTAGAGACGGGGTTTCACCGTGTTAGCCAGGATGGTCTCGATCTCCTGACCTCGTGATCCGCCCGTCTCGGCCTCCCAAAGTGCTGGGATTACAGGCTTGAGCCACCGCGCCCGGCCACTTTTATCTTTTTTTTTTTTTTTTTTTTTTTGAGACGGAGTCTCGCTCTGTAGCCCAGGCTGGAGTGCAGTGGCCGGATCTCAGCTCACTGCAAGCTCCGCCTCCCGGGTTCACGCCATTCTCCGGCTCAGCTCCCTGAGTAGCTGGGACTACAGGCGCTGCCACCTCGCCCGGCTATTTTTTGTATTTCTTAGTAGAGACGGGGTTTCACCGTGTTAGCCAGGATGGTTTCGATCTCCTGACCTCGTGATCCGCCCATCTCGGCCTCCCAAAGTGCTGGGATTACAGGCTTGAGCCACCGCGCCCGGCCACTTTTATCTTTATTATACGCAACAGGACCAGCCCCAAACATGAAAACTGATTAATTTGTGAAACTAACACTGCATGATTTTTGTAGGATATCACCTGTAGGAGGCATTCTTGCTGTAGTTTGAAGTGATGGGGATTTAGTTAGAATTAACTGTCCATCACAGGCTCTCTGATGAGGTGAATGACATCCTGGCCCTAGCTCATCTTGTAGAGAAATACGACTGCTGGCAGAATGAGTTCTTCCAGTGTCTTATCCCCATTTCAGTTCTATGTTTATTCTTCCGTTCTTAATTCTATTACAATGTGAAACATTTCAGGTATTTTCCCCAAAATGTGTTCTGTTGAAACCACCTACAGTTGTTTTCAATTTCAGCAGGAAAAAAATTCTCTTGAGGATTTCTGAATTCTAAGTTATGAGAAATAAAAGAAGCACTTGTGTAAAAATTTAAAGCACATTAAAAAAAATTCCCTTTTGTTTGTCCGAGAAGACAAAAACATTTGATGTTTTAAACATCCAAGAGGGTGAGCCCAAAGCATGGACTGCTGTTTAGTTAAGCATGAAAGGACTTTAGAATTGTCAGTTATTAACTTCTAATTTGTGTGAAAGAAACTTTGAGAACTTTCCCTTTCTGAAACTAGTAATTAAGCCATTATCCTAACAGGCGCAATTAAGGGGTGAGTATTTAATAATAATTAAAAAAAAAAAAGATAATGGAAAAGACTCTACACCCCAAGACACATCAAGACAAGGAATGGCAGCAGCAGCAACAACAAAAGGAACTCAATTTGAATTCACAAAGGAAATTAGACAACCCGTTTCAACTAAAAACAAACTGTTGGTGGAGAACAAAAACAGAAGATTGGGCCGGGCGCGGTGGCTCACGCCTGTAATCCCAGCACTTTGGGAGGCCGAGGCGGGCGGATCACAAGGTCAGGAGATCGAGACCACGGTGAAACCCCGTCTCTACTAAAAATACAAAAAAATTAGCCGGGCGCGGTTGTGGGCGCCTGTAGTCCCAGCTACTCGGGAGGCTGAGGCAGGAGAATGGCGTGAACCCGGGAGGCGGAGCTTGCAGTGAGCCGAGATTGCGCCACTGCACTCCAGCCTGGGCGACAGAGCGAGACTCCGTCTCAAAAAAAAAAAAACAAAAAAAAAAACAAAAAAACCCAGAAGATTGTTACTACTTAACTCACAACTATACATATGCAACTCTCCCTTTCACTGGGGAAATGATCCAATCAGTATTAAAATTTTGTTGACTGTGGATTAATGTATGCCACTAAATAAGATAATTTAACTTGAGCTTTTGGGGTGTTTTATTTTGAAAATGTCATACTCTGTCATTCTGGAAGACAGGTAGGACAGTTGAGACGGACCTTTGCCTCACAGAAACGCACTCATCCTCCTATTATTACCATGCTTGTGCCTCTGTCACTTCTCAGAGGGCAGGGTTTAATCGTTTTAGCCTAAACTGCTTTGTCCAGTGGTTAGCACAACTCTCTCAGAGGAAGCACTTAAATTTTAAGAAATGGTAACAAGAGTGGATATTCTTAGAAATCTATTGATTTAAAACGCTTCCCAGTCTCTGTCCAATCCCGTCAAAGCCCTTATAAATTTAACATGCTGCTTTTTAACAACTGATTCAACCCAAATACTTGAGGGTTAGATATCTTATTTAGAACATGCATTTTGCTGTTCAGCAAGTAAGAGTCTTGCTGCCACAGCTTATCTTACTCCTTTTTGAGAATATGGGGATATACAGAAAAGCTGATGAATTCTGATAACCTAAAGTGGCGATTTGCAAACTCTGAACTGGTTATCTGGGTGCAAATTCTTTCAATATAATCCACAGGTAAAGAAATAAAAAATGCAAATTCTTAGGTAATCAATTTGCCACAGAGATTAGGGGTCAGTTTTTTTTTTTTTCTTTTTAGCAACTGATAAGGTGATCTAGGGGTCAACATTTATAAAACATTGATGTAAGTTTTTTTTAAAAAAACTTTTTTTACCCTGTTAACTTATGATGTAAGCTTTTTGAAGAAATAAAATGATTCAGTAAAATCTAAACTTTACATATTGGATCTGGCTAACGATTCTTTGTGAGTCAAATTGGGGGCCAATTATTAACAATATCTTCTTAATTGTCAGGAAAATCACTTTTAAAAAATTAGTAGACTTTAAAAAAACAGTTTTAGGCTTACATAAAAATTGGGCAAAAAGTACAGAGAGTGTTCATAGACTCCTAGCCCCTCACCCTCACTTGTCCCTATTATTAACGTGTTGCATTAGTGTGGTACATTTGCTATAACTGACGAGCCGATATGGAAAGTGACTCCTGAAATGACATGGCAAGGTTGCCTAACGTATCAGTGGCTGGGCTGATGCTGGGAACAAAGTCACACCCACACTCTCACTTCAACAATCTCCCTGGTAATTTCTCTGGCAGAGATGTTGTGTGCAGATTAATACCATAATGACTGTAATTGTTCTGCTCCAGTATCTGAACACCAGTGGTTGCAGGACCTATTCGACTAAGCACTTTGATTGGTGCCTGGGATTGTTGGTATTTCTCCTGACTCCATCTTCACTTTCCTTGTCACCTTGGACACAAGCTTTAATGGCTCAGAGCCTGAAGCGTGTAAACCTGTGAAACAGAACAACATTGCACAATATTAACTAATTTACACCTTGACTCTATCTAAAGGGAAGTGAGGTGGGAGCAATGATATTGACGGTGAAGAACTGGACT